CCAATAGAAGTCGAAAGCGTAGGAAAAGCACCGAAGGAAGCGTTTCCTCCACGAGTAACGCTTCGGGAAGTCAGTCGTCTAGAAGTGGCAGCACATCATCGGTCGGATCAACCACTCAATCGGCCAACAATTACCACAATAAGAAACATCACCACCACTTGAATAAGTCAAATAATACTAAAGACAAGAACTCTAAGAAATTCGGTTCTTCATCTGATAGTGAAGGCATCGAAGGCTCGGAATGTGATAAAGAGACGAACCCTAAAGACACGGCTCTGATCGCCAACACTAGTGTCTGTTCGGCTGAAGCCAACGCTCCAAAAGTGCCGCCCCTTAGGATAGTATTGCCCGCAAACACTTCCAACACTACGTTAACAATGAGTGTCACCTCCGCCGCCAACAGTGGCGCCCATTCATCGGTCACCTCATCAGTGACATCGAGTACCGCTCCTTTGGGCGCGAAGTTCCCATATGTTGTCTCATCTGAGGAATCGTTTCAAAGTGAAAGTGATTGCGTTTCCGGTGCCGTTGGCTCACAAAGGATTACCAGAAGTAGCCAAAGGGTTGCTCAGCAACAAAGTCAGAGATCTAACAACAATTGTGGTGAGAATCACAGCGACTCTGAAGAGTCGGCGCTTCACAACACTTCGCAAATGGATTCACAACATCCGCGCAAACGAAAGATTCGCAACAATAATACCAACGATAATAAAAGCCATTCAAATGTGAACAATAATAACAATTCGGTGAACAATAACTCGAATGGCGATAACGATAACGATTCGTCGTCTTCGACGTCGAGTCTCTCTCACAACTTGAAAGACGTTTCTCCGTTTGCTTTACCGCAGACTAATTGCTATCAAATGTTTTTAAGTATTAGAAAAAATGTGGACAAAAAACGCAAAGAAATGTTTGCGGTTCCGCCGAAAGCACCGCAAGGTTTCGATGACTATCTTCTCAATCGGTGTTCTTATATATTAGAAGAAAAGTCAGGAAATAATAATAATATTAAAAATAATAGTAATGATGACAATAAGGTTAGTGTCAAAGATAGCGCTAATATATCAACAAAGCCGAGTTTGGCGTCGACCCCGACCTCACTGTCCGGCTCTCGAATGCACGACATATTTAGCGAACACGAGAGACATCGATATAAACTGAAAGTCCAACATATGATCGACAGACAAAAGTTGATTTTATCGGCCGAACAGGAGATACTGCGAGTGCACGGGAGGGCCGCACTCGCAATGGCCAACCAAAGCGTTCCCTTTTCTGTTTGCACTATTCTTAAAGACGAAGAGATCTACAATATCTTCGACACCGAAAGCGATCAAAACCAGACTATTTCTAATCAAATAAAAGGGGACAAACCGGTGGTCACCGGAACCAGTGGTCTGAGTGCTAATAGAACTCGTTATAACGGAAGACTATTCCTCTCATGGCTTCAAGACGTGGCCGACAAATGGCAGAAAACGAAAGAAGTGATGCTTTTGCGCCACAAAAAGGAATCGGAATCAATGCTAGCGATGCAGAGACTGGAGTGGGAGTGGAAGCTCAAAGAGTTCGGGTTGTGTGACCTCAAGACCAGTCCCAACATCGACGACATACACGTACCCAAAGTTTTTGTCGGCGAAGACTTTGAACTCTTTCCGGTTTAAATATTTTGACGCCAACTTATCATTGATTTAGTGATTATTGAAATGAGTTTTAATGAATTTTATGAGTGAATACCGAGTATTAGATTATATTTTAATTTACTTTTAGTTTTTTACAATTTTTGTCTTTTGTGTCCGAAAAACAAAATGTCTGCACTCGTCGATCGTGGCTATCATTACTCATGAGTTTCGTAATAATGGTGTAAAAGACTTAAATATATTGATTCTTAGGTATGAAAGGCGTGTCGAGGATATTATGACTGATAACATAATACAAGCATTCAATTCAAGATTATCTTCTAATATAACTTCAAATTATATAATTTTTATCCCCAAAAGACGTCTTCATTTGAATCCAAACTTAACACTAATTTTAATCAAAATTTTATTTCCGAAAAATAATTTTTGTATTTTTTCTAAAATCATTTCAACATTTATAAAATTTAGTCCAAATATTAAAATAAATTACTCTTTAATTTAATTAATTTTAACAGAAAATTATTACAAATACATAATAAATATAAATAAAATCTTGATTAAATAATTTTAAAACAAATGAAATATTTTTACATTTTAACTGATAATTGTCTCGACTTTTGTGGCAAAATGTTTGTCTTGTTTATCATTTCTTTATCTAATATGTAATCAATTGGTTAATTGTTGTCAACATTAGTGTTGGAATTATTACTATTAGTATTAGTATTAGTATTACTGCTATTATTCTCTTCTTTGATATCTTTGAGGAAACTATCGATTTGTTGTCTTAATGTCTCATTTTTCTCCTCGATTTGGTCCAAGAAATGACTGATTTGATCCAATTTGGTGTCCAATTGAGACAATTCTGTTTACATAATAGACAATAGTTTTGAATTGCGGTACAAATGATAGTGTTTTCAAATATAAATACAATACAAAACACTCGTATAATTAGACAATCAATTGATAAAACATTCAAAATATATCTCATGTATGAGACAAACCGTCGATCTGTTGGTCTAATATTTGGATGTCTTGAGTCTCTTCAGACACATCCATATGGTCTCCATTTTCCTCTTCATCACCACTGAATCCATTATTGTCTTCAATCGGATCGGGAGTTGATTTAGTCATTGGTTTTGATTTCATAACTCATTCAACAAAACAACTAATGAATGAATATTAATATTGCTGTCATTCATGGCATTCACAAAGAGTGTTACATTTAAAGGGGCGGAATGAAGGCAGTGGGCACTCATGTGATGTACACAAGGATTAGAGCGACTATTATTTGGGAATAAACATTGAGATTGAGTGGGAATCGGGAGTAAGACTAACATGAACAGTAACATGAACATGGTCAAATTGGCAATACATTTGATGACACTAATTGAGAGAACAGTTAGTACTGGACTCAAGTCCATATCAGTCTCCAATCTAAAGCACATCTTAATAAATGATTTCAAACCACAGATCATTTGAACATAAATTTATTTAATTTCGCATAACTTTCAAACAAATAAAAAAAGTTTTAAAAATACCGGTTCTTTAAAATTAAAGTAAATTTCAATTCTTTGCTGTTTTCTAATTAATACAAATATAATGTAATAATAATAACAATGAACTCAATTCTGACTGCAAATACTTGTGACAANTTGGCCGATTGAGTGGTTGATCCGACCGATGATGTGCTGCCACTTCTAGACGACTGACTTCCCGAAGCGTTACTCGTGGAGGAAACGCTTCCTTCGGTGCTTTTCCTACGCTTTCGACTTCTATTGGATTCATCGGTAGTTTGTGTCGAATCAACAGATGTGTAGTTATGATCACTACTGGCGGCCACGGGTTCCGATGCACTGCCGTTAGCACCGGAGGGCTTATTGTCATTTTGTTTGTCACTATTTAAGTCATTTGTCGGTTCTTTCTCTTTGTCTGAAGCGCTGGAAACACTATAAGACTTGGTTGAGGACATTGTGGTGGAAGTGATGGGAGTGTTTGTGACAGTTGTGGACTGTTTGGGGTCTTTGATTGATTGGAATCTAAGTGTAAGTCTGGGAGACGTGGGCTTTAAAGGAGAGGAAGTGTTGGGCGAAGAGGATCTACTTTTACTGCTACTATCTTTATTATGTCCGCCATTTTTTCGCATCTTCTCCTCAATAAACGAATTGATGTCTTCGTAAACTCTAACACTTTTTGTCACTTCAAGTGCTGTTTTGTTTGAATTGTTGGTCAGAGTATAATCGGCGCCATATCTTAGTAAGAGTTGGACTAAATCCTGGTGACCATTAACTGCCGCATCGATTAGAGGCGTGTCATTGTTATAACCCCTGGCGTTGACATTAGCGCCGGCTTTCAATAATTCTTCTACTATTGACACAAATCCTCGATTACAGGCTTCATGTATTGGTGACCAGCCTTTCGTTGAATTAGTGTTAAATTACATTAAATTCAATACATATTAACAATTATAAGACAATGAGAGCAAACCTGCGAAGTCAGTGATGTCGACGTCGTATTTGTTGTCAGCGATGATCTGTTGGACTCGTGTTAGATCTCCTTTGATGGCAGCGATATGGAGAGCAGTCTCTCCCTTATGGTTACGTCTAACTCTTTGCCCACTTTTTATCGCATTATTTGTTTGTTTTAGAGAGTGATTGTCAGGAGAGGCGCCTATAATAGCGATAGTAAATAATTAAACAATTAATTGATTACTATTTTTAAGCCATTTTTGAGCGAATCCTTGAATATGAAAGCAAAGGATGAAAGAGTACTCAAAAAACAACTCAAACATTGACTGCAAGTGAGGATTACTTTCATGACTATTAATATCTCGAATGAATACCAGTTTTGTTCACATCATTAACAGAGAGACAAATATTACATAAAAATTAAATAATTTGCAATAAAACCAAAAATTATGCTAAAAATGGGTTCATTTCTTACAGCACTATAGGAACTGCATATTTAAGTATAACATAACGTATTATGCATTCATATATTTAGCACTCATTTCAATACCAATTATTACGAAATGATTGAGCCTTTGGTACAAATATTTGGCTCATTATAGCAAGTGATGCCTCGCTTTACACAACAGTCTATGCATTCATTTCATTGTCATTCATCACTAATTACTCCCTTGTCTTTCATTTAAACATATATTTAATTAAATAATACTTCAATTATATATCATATAAATATAGATAAATATGAAGAAATCAATTAATCATAAAACCATAAATAGCTATCAATTTAGTCTAAAAATAGATGTTAATTTCAATTTGCATTAATTGAGTAAATAATTAAATATTAGGCCAAAAGTCAATAGTAATGGCCTTTACTTACGATTTGTCAAAAAATGTAATCAAAATGTGATGTAAACTAAAATTCAACGATTGATTGTTTGCATTAAATCACAATTAAACAGCAATTCATACCATTCATGTGTACATGAATTGTCATCTAAACAGTGAGTTATATAACTGGCAAACAATTATCGCTATATTGTTGACTGAAATGCAATTCAATGGCAATAAAGTGTTTTTAACATCAATTCAATGATAAACAAGTGTT